AAGTGAGAATACATTGGTATTTAACTTTTTTTAGAAGATTTTCCTTTCCTTGTAAGTGTCACTTATTTATTCAACCCTCAGTACCAGAGAGATAAATCCTTGTGATCCCAGAGGTGCCACTGATGTGAGGGGAGCAGGGATCAAGCCCTGTCTACTCTCAGGAACACACCAAAAGTAGGAAATTATTTCAGGCTGAAGAAGCAAAACATCATGCCATTAAAAATACAGAATCACCACAGTAATAATCAATGCCAAGTAATTAAAAATAATAATGATTTCTGTTTGTGTAATTCTTCCAGAAATGAATTTTCTTTCAGGGAATCCAGCGCTTCTTTTAAAAAATATGCTGTGGTTAAAGGAAAATCAAATCAGTTTTCATATATTAAAGACTAAATCCTTCATATATTCCTATTTCATACTTGTTCCTGTGATTCTTAGAACTCTTTCTCTTACCAGCTTTTAGTTGATTTAGATTAAGCCCTGTAACTAATGCCAAAAATTTATTCCTGCCTTGAAAAGGGATTTTGTAATGCTGGCATCGTACCTTTTTGTCTCTCTGTGGCTCCTTGTCAAAACTATATGCTTTACAAGTTGATTTTTTTTTAACCCCGTCCCTCTGCAGCCTCAGGCTGGCCCCAGGACTCGGGCTGGATCCCCCTGGTCTCGAGCATCGTCCCACCATCTCTGCGCTAACGCCGCGTGTGCTGCTCCGCCGGCTCCAACCGGCTCCACGCTGCCATGAGCAGAGCTGGGTTTGAAATAAACTTCATTGAACGTTTTGCTGGTGATAATCAAGCCACAATAGAACACTAAGGGTAAAAAATTGCCTACCCAAAAATGCAGTTCAGATGTTCCTTTCTCCTTTTGACCAGCCAAACATTTGGTGTCTCATGGTGACAGTGATGGGCTCGTCCACCAGCTCCACTTGAGCTCCCAAAATCTGACAGGATATTTTGGTGGCATAGTCTCAAAGCTGTTACTTTTCCCTTCCATCCTTCTCGTGTATCTCAATGTTGTATGCTACCAAAACATTTACAATATGATTTTGTTTTAGGATCCTTTCCATTTTTACAAATAAATCAAATGAATGTTCCTTTTATACAGCTGTAATTCACCCACATTGTTGCAGTAGAGCTTATTATCTCATTTACATTTTTAAGTGCTTTTCAAAGTGTAGGATATCTGGGCTGGAAAGCAAAACATTTCATTTCTTTGTTCTCAGGCCAACACAAAGCACTTCCAAGGTCAGGTATGGTGTAGACTTTCACCAGCAAACATGTTTACATGGCATTTGAAAGCCGGTTTAACTGAAAAAAAAAAATAAATACTGTCTTTATAACAGTGATGTAAGTCAGCTTAGCAAAGCTGAGGTATAGGGATTAATTCTGTACCTGGAAAAATTTAACTAAATAAGTTAGGCTTTGTTTTTCATTCAGGGAAAAAAGCCTCTGACACTTAAAAATTGGCCTGTTTTTCTAATTTTTTTATCCATATTTCTTCATCTCAGCAGTTACTAAACTGCTCTGTCACTCTTTGGGCAAAATCTGACACTTTGAAACTGTAGAATAAAAACTGCGTTTCTAAACAAAACAAACCCCATTGTTTAATAGTACAAAGATGTTCTGTGGCATACCTGGGGTCAGTCCTCGGCTGTTTTTAGGAGTCTTCCATGTGACAAAAGCTGCTCTGTGAGATGCAGCGAGCCATCAAGCCGTCGGCGGGACTGGGTGGCTTCAGGAACAGCATCAGCATTCAGGCTCTGGCCACTCCGTAGGAAGCTTTCTGACAATAGAGAGAATTTTCAGTGTGATCTTCAAAGGGGTGCATTATTCATGACATCCATCATGAGTCCGTCTAGAAAATTAGAATCATGGGCAACAAACTTGCTTACTTCTAATTACTATTTTCAGAGCTGATCATATGTGGGAATCTACAGCAACCATGAGATTTTGATGGGGTTTTTTTTTTTTTGGCATGGCTTTGATCAAATTCTGGTCTTTGGTTTTATTTTTTTGTCCTTGTGCTGCTGGGAAAGCTGAAATACCAAATGAACATTAATTACTCATGGAACATCCTTTATACACAGAAGTAGATTCTGCAAAGTGCTGGGTGGGAGAGCGGGTGAGCAGCACAGCTCCAGACCAGGAACAGCCTCCTCAGAGGGATCCCCGGCTGATCCGAGGAGTTACTCCTTTTCTCTGCCATCCCAACACAAAGGGTTCCAACAGCCAGTTACCATGTGATTGGAAAACTCTGTGAACTCATACAGTATATTTTGGGTTGGATAATTGATGAATGGATAATTATAAGACTTAACAGTTTCCTATAGTTTTACGCTATAGTAAAAATACCTGATTTCTAAATTGTACTTGTTTGAGACATAGTCTGCTCCCATAATGGAACACAGTACGTGCTCTCCAGGCTGGCAAACACTATCTAGAGTAGCTGGGCCTGACAAAGACTGTGTGTCATCTGAATTTCCCAAATTAATTTACTTTAAGACACATTGCAAACCCTCACTTTCAAAGGAACCTCTCATTTTATTCTCTACAAATATGTTTGTTTGTTGTAAATGAGAAAAGTGAGAATGGAGACGGGAAGGAAGGGCAGAGCAGGGCCCCCAGTCTCCTCTTCACACCACGTGGCTGCTGCCTCGACCAGGAGCAGTTTGAGATCCTGTTCTGTGTTCAGTTCTTACAGGTTTGTGTGATGGAGCACGAGAGATACCTGTTCTCCTAGAGGGATATGTACGTAGCTGTGCATGTACATTTGTGTGTGTTTGTGCACATATGCTGTCTCTTGACCATCAGAGTCCTGTGACAGAGTGAAATGTGCTCTGGAGCTCAGGAATGGAGCCCGGGCAGGATGGCTGCTGGGGAGAGAGGTTTCCTCCCTCCTTATTTTTCCCCGTACCAAGCTGTCTGGGCTGTATAAGCTGATCGCGTGGAAACAGCAGAAGACGGGTCATACCTGGTAATCTGTCCAAAACATGCTCTGTGAGTCTTCCTGAGAGTCGTCCCGTACTGGTTATGTCTGGACATTCTGGAGTTATAGGACTTCTGTCAAATTAATTGAGTCTTTGGTGATCTTTCTGATACCTGGAACAGCCCTGCCCCTTATTATGGTTCTACATTTTAGTTTTTAAATCAAATTATGCTTGTTTGTATTTCACCTTCCAAAGTTAGATGTACAAAAAGCCTACAATTCACACATATATTTCATTACATTAATGCAAATTCCTAGTACTGTAAGACTTGTTGAGTATTGAAGACGGGTTATATATTCAAAGCCTGGATTTCAACATTTCTCAGAAGCGGTGATAGCATAAAAGTCCCTGGGCAGATTTGAAGTTCATGCTTGGGTCTGGTTAAATTTTTTGGCATCAGAACATGTAATAGTCTTATAGCTAGAAGACTTTAAAGTTAATGCCTGGCACGACTTCAAAACAATGTGCAAGATCTATCATAAGTAGTCCTCTTATCTTATCTCAATAGCAATTTTATCCTGTAAATGATTTGAGAGTACAGTATTTCAGTGCTGTGGAAAAGAGCAAGGGTTTTTTTTTTTCTGTTAAATCTTTGCACTGCGAGTACTTTTAATGATCCTGGTGTATGCAGGGGTGTTCTCCTTGGAGGAAGCAGGTATTAACTGTGTGGCAGGTTCTGCAAAGCACCCTGAGAGTCCCTGTCTCAGAGCTGGTCTCCCCTTTCCAGGTGCTCTGCAGAAGGGGTCCGTGCAGCTCCGCTTTTTAAAAACCAACCCTGGAGGCACTTTCAGTGCCTTTTGGTGTCATTTATAGCGTATTTCCAGCACGAGCCCCTTCCCAGCCCCAGTCCTGCCTCTGCCCCTGCATTTGGGGAGCCATGCCCTGGTTTCCTGCCATACAAAAGATAACTCCAGATACTCCCTTTCTGCTGCCCAGCCCCTCTGTGCTGGTGTCAGTCTCACATCCACATTGTGCACTTTGCCTCAAGTCAGCACTTGCCGTTAACAATGCCTTTATTCAAGCTGACAACATAACTAAGCTTTTAGTAAATGGGTAAGTAAATGTTAAGTGTGCATTCAAACATTCAACAATGACTAGGAAACTTTAAAAAAAAAATCTTTGAAACTTTGTATTGTTTGTTTGGTGTGTATCTGTTAGAAATAACAGAGACTATCGGTTCCTTGGGGCATGGCTGTTCTTTTGTTAAGCATATAACAAAAAGATCAAGGCTCTGAGGGACTGCTGTAATAAAAATAAATATATATGAAGAACAATAATGACAAAATAAATTCGTTAATGCATTTTATGAGCTTGATTTAGAAGTGATTATTTCTGAACTAAATAAAGACTGGATAGTTGTGGTAAAGTGACACGATCATAATATTCCTTTTATTTATTGCCATTTATACTTCATTTGTCGATCACATGCTAGACTTGAGTACAGGACGGGAGGGGAGCCAGCATCCCGTTTCAATAATATGGAATAAATTTTCACTGCAAATTCCAGACATTGTTTTCCAGAGAGAGGATTATTCTTCTAGCTTAAAGGAGAAGTTATTGGTACACAAGTGTTCACAGGAAGCACAGATTGTACAAATAGGACGATAACAAAAGTCTGAAATGTTTGCAAGTGCAGTCGTGGCAATTGTAACATTTCCATTTCCCTTTCAGTCTTTGGGGATATTTATTGCATTTTCAGCATGAATTCTTGTAGCCTGTAATAAGACAGAACCACTAAGATTTAAGGACTCCTTGGGTATATTTATTACATTTTCAGCATGAATTCTTATAGCCTGTAATAAGACAGAACCACTAGGATTTAAGGACTCCCGTTGAGTCGTTGGTCCTACCTCTGCAGGGTAACGCTGGCCCAGCTGGGTCTGGCCCCTGTGGCTGGAAGCAGCTGTAGCTGCAGAGCTCTCCTGACACTCTCCTCTTGAACAACGTTACCTGTGGGTTATTCTGCTCTCCCGTGTTGCTCACGTGTGTTTTGCACTTGTTGCTGTTGTTTCAGGCCTTACAGGACGAAGTGGAGAGTTACCGCCATCAGGTGCGGGCTGCCGAGAGGAAGCTGCAGCGCAGGGAGCTGGAGGCCCAAGAGCAGGTACCCGGTGCTGTCCCCCATCCCCTTCCCTTGGGCAAGGCAGTTCTGTGTTCAAAAATAATACCTTGCTTCAAAGCAAAAGCACATATTTTCCTGCAAAATTTTCAGCTAGCTTTCTTTTCTATTTTTTTTCGGTAATAGAAGAGAATTAAACTGTCTGAACCCTACAGGCAAATACTTATCTCATGCTCCCTATTTCAAGTTGGTATTTCAACTATTCTAGCTGTTAAATGGTGCATTTATTTTGAACTGTTTTACTGTTTTAACAGAGGTTTCTGAGACTATTCTCACTTGTTGTTTAATGGCTTGTATAGAGAGACTTATAATTGGACAATAACTGAGCTAAAAATAATAATTATTCCTGATCTTATGCATTCATTGTCCTCGCATGTTGTCTGTAAACAGTTCCATATGATTAATAGCACTAAAATTATTCTGGACACTTTCAGTGAGATCAGAGATTTCGTGTACTTCAAGCAAAATAGTGTATGTAGTCTGCAGACGAGTATTGAAATGGAAAGTCAATGATCTGCATTCAAACCAGATGAAATTGAAGTATTTAGGGAAATATACAGCTGGTGGATATCTGAATCACCTACAAATTTACGGATTTCTAATACAAATCAGTTTTTGCAGCATTTGAGAAATTTATTTGGTGCTGGGTAAATAGTATCCATTACATATATCCTGTATAGAGCATTTCTAAATCTATACCTGCAGGAATAGTAAGTTAGGGTGGTTGTAGAAGAGCAATACTCAGGGATTTTGAATATTTTTTCCCCAGTTGTTGTTGTCCTACATGGGATGTTTCGTACACAGGAACCCTTATTCACCTGGGTGTTCATGTTCACATATTTCCTCCCGGGAGAGTCAGCAATTCGCTTTTCTGCTCTTCTCCCCCTGCCCCCTGGACGGAGATGTTGGTCAGGTCACCCTTATCTGCACCACTTGCCCGTGGGAGGCGATGGGTGCAAGGGGTGAGCTGCCCTACAGGCCTTGCATTTTGGCTGCAGAGTTTCTCCTGGAAAAGGAAGAAAATAAGCTGTTTGGTGCCTGGTTGTCCCTCCCAGGGACCAGCACTGGCCTGCACGCTAGCAGAGTCCTCTTCCAAATCTCTTTATTATTTTTTCTTTAATCTTTGCCACTAGCATTTTGCTTTTTTACTGACCCATTTTGAGAGAGGATCCAGAAGAAGAAACAAGAAATGACTTGTGAGATACAGAGGTGGAAGGCTGGACATGCAGAGTCACAGGATGCTCCCTGCGTTGTGCCTTTGAGGTTTTCTCTTACATGAGCACCTCATCCAACCCAGCCCCCAGGGCTGTCCTCTCCATGCTAAATGAATGTAGGACAAGCTCAGCTGGTAATGTCCCCTTCCCCAGTATGAATGGAACAGAAATGTTATTTAAATGACACTGCACCATCTGGCTTGGAGCTTTTCCTGCACGGTGGTAATATGTTAGCAGAGTTCTGGTTATCTCATATCTGACTTCGTTTATGGTCTTGTCTCTGCCATTCATCCCTTGAGATGTTCTGAAGAAGCCAGAGCCATTGAGGATGTGTTTGTTTAGGTGGCTTTGGTCTATTTTGCAGACAAACATTTTGAAAGCTGTTAGTGTGTCTTCTCTGTGAGTGGTTAATCCATTAGTTATGCTTCTCTCTCTAGAAGGAAAATGGAAAAATGACAGCTCTGACATATGGCCAGTTATTGTGTCTGGGCTGGGCTACCTGTAAACATCTTCATCAAGTATTAACAGTAGCTAAAGGCTCATCAGCCAATCAGGGAACTGAAATATTTAAGGTAGTAACTTAGAACTTGCTTTCTGCTTTTACCAAACATTGTCTGAATCAGAATTGCATAAATCATCACAATTTGCGCTGGCGCTATTACAAAGGCCACTCTTGTGAGCTTTTACATGTCTATAAATAAGGAGGAGAGAGGGTTAAAAAGCTTCTGTTTTTCATTAAAAGGAAAAATCTTGTGTTTTGATTCTATAACAACAACAAACAAATGAATGAGACATGAAAAAACATTTTGTTGTGCTTTTAATTAAAAATAAAAAGCTGTTTCTCGTTATGGCTTGTTGGGTGGTATCTTAGTGCTCCATGTTCATCTTTTTTTCAGTGCAATGTTCTTATAACTTTCCAGTCTCTAGGAGTGACTGACAGATGCACAAAGCTTAACTCTTTGTTAAATAGCCCTCTGGGCACAGAGTTAACCTTTCGTTATTATAATTACCCAGAGAGACAAACTGTCCTATAAATAAGGAGGGGAATGTGTTGGAAGAGCTCTGATGGCAAGCCCTGAGCTGTCACGTGGTGCTGCAGCTGAAGATGAGCTGGTGTTTTTATGGAGCTTTTTCATTCCAATACTTCATGTTCTTTTATGAACTTGTGTTTACTCCTGTTTACTTTTCCCGTCCTCTTTGCAGTGTGAGCAGGTGCAATCGGGTTAGATGTGTGTGGTTTCATCAGAGGTGCAGCACGGCAACGGTACCCGAGTGATGAGTTCCCACCCACAGGAAGGGTTTGTCAAAAGTGCCTTGGAACTTCTCCCACTTGGACTACCCCAGATAATTTTATCTTTTCCACAAAGGTTCTCCTTTCTCTCCTAAGCGTGGGTTTCTGGACAATGGTCCATGTGTTCAGAGATGCTGCGCTTCTAGGTTGGAGCCTCAGAACTCTATCATCTTTCTTCGTGTAAAATGCTGGGTGTTTCCTTGAAAAATTAGATGTTCCCCTTCTTGAGGTGTGTGTAATTGTGTTCATGGAAAGCAGCAAACTAGCAGTAGATAAAGTGTAAGTCACACTCAATATAGAGATTTTTTTATACAGGGTTTTTATCTGTAGTCCCAAGACAGAGCAGTCTGGGAAGGTTCCTGGGAAACCCAGGTGTGTCCAGACCTTTTCCTGGCAAAGGAGTCTGGTGTCTCTTTGCTCAGACTAACCCCGCTGAGGCTGAGTTCCTGCACTGGGTCTCTGGTAGGGCATCGCTGGTTGTCTCTGGTTCCTGCCTAGGTCTAATGTAAGATGAGATTTCTGAAAGATCTTTCATTCCTGTAAAAATGTTTCTCTTTCTTGAGTCATGTGGCTTTGTGCAGTTGTCAGTCATCATTAAAAAATCCAAATTGTTCGTACAGCAGACTTTACATCCTGTGAATGTGTAATTAAAAATGATGCACATCACTGAGAGCTGAAGCATGTGCCTTAATGAATCAGGGAATTTAGGCACATGCAACAAATTTTGCTGAATTGGGGCCCATATACAAATGAACAGTAGTGATCTTCTTGCTTTATTGTCTAGATTTCTTTAGAATACCTCATTTAATTTCAAATTCCTTTTTGTAAGGGTAACCCCCCCCCAAGCCAGTGTACTGAACAGCTCCAAGAATCTCTCCTTTGAGAATTACACGCAGGAATTTTTTCAGACAGAAACCAAACCCAGCTATTCTTTTAATTCCTTGTTGTAATGTTTTTAACTGTAGAGGTGGATTGAGTATGATGTAAAATTTCTAGTTGGGGATAATAGAGGGAAGAAAGTTTCTCATGTTCATATACAGGTGAAGTAGCAACACTCTAGATACCCAAACCATAGGAATGCTCCTCCGAGCAGTCAAGTCACAAATAGAGTTTTAAAGGAGAGAGATTCTCTGAAGACAGAAAATCAATTATGTTCCATTCATGAATATTACTGAGGAAATGAGGGAGAATACCAATGTAGATTTCCAGCCTTTTAATTTCTTTTTTTCTCAAATAGATTATAAAAAATGGAGAAAGCAGTTATCAGAATAAGGATGTTGTAGAAGTATTTGGAATAAAATGGAACAGCTTAGTTTGTTAAGTGGATTTCACTCATGTTCAAATGAAAACAGGAGTGATAATTGTAAAAGAGCTATGATTCAAAAGCATTCAGTGAGTTTTCATTTTTAATGTTTATTATTCTGACTTGCTCAATTTTTTATGACTGCTGGATGTTTACCATGTTCAGCCTAACTTACTGTTTCCATGCCAACTAAATATATTTGTTCTCAGATGAATGCTGTGATGCGTCGTTCTGAGATTTTAGCTGCTGTGTGGCAGAGAGAACTTGTAACGTGTGTCACCTTCTGCTGGCCAGGAACTGAGCTCCTGCCTGGGGCTTGTGGGGCTGGGGCGAAGGGCCAGCGAGAGGGGCCAGGCCAGGGCATGGTCCCACCTAAGTCTTAAGACAACAGTGGCTGGGAGACCTCAGTAATATTAATATCCCTTTAGGCTGGCACTTTTTGGTCCGTATTTCTTTTCAGATTCATTTTTAAAGCTATGACAGAGTTTTAAATGCAATCAGATAAATTTGCAGAAGGTCTTTGCCCTCCCTTCCCTCGTCCTGCCCTGCTAGATGTGTCGCTCTCAACAGGTTGTCTTTCTCAGAACATGTTAGAGTCACCTAAAATCAGGCTAAGGAGCTCAAAGTATTTAAAAACAAAATTTTGCTTTGTGGCCAGCTGCAGGGGAGAGGATTGAGTCTCTTCCAAGTATGTTGTTCTTTCTTCTGACTTCCCGACAGAGGCTGTTGGGGAAGAATCAGGCTGATTCAGGTTCTATCTCCATAAGGGACCTTCCATGGATGTAGGTGCCCCTAGAGGTGTCTGGCAATGTTGACAAAGGTACCGTAAAGTGACTATTGGCATTTGGAGCCAAATTATACCACTTTTAGGTTGGTTAGTGTCTACCATACATGCAATTCCATTGAGATATTAATAAATCTGATACAAAAGCACTCCCCAATTTTTAATTAAGACTGAGATTGCTAGAATAAATCATAACTTTGCATTGATGTATTTTATATTTTGTGTAGCATTTTCTTTAACGGCCTGCTATGAAAGGAATGCAGAATTAAACAGAATATAGTAAGTTATACTGTATAGCATCAAGTTTCAGATTAGCAGAAGGAGATAGAAGCTGAACTTCAAGCACAGAAAAACAGATTTGCAGGTGGGATTTGAAAGGAGCTGGAAATCAAT